AAACTTTCCCTCTAGTCTGTCTCATCCTGCACGGGTCTCCTTCCACATCCAATCGTCAATCAACATGCAATGAGCACTTACTCAAGGCTGTCTGGATATCCTTTTCTCCATTTTTCACTTCTGTCAAAAAACCCTTCAAAAATTTGAGACCTCTAAAACAGAAAAGAGGAAGATATATTACCTTTAAAGTTCCCTTATATTAAAATAAGTATAAAGAAATGGTAGGTTGTTAGCTTCTATTTCAATAAAACCTTGCAAACATCATGAAAAAGTCAAGCTATATGGGAGTAGATTCTGAGTTGTCATTTCCTTTTAGCATATTCAGACTCTTCATACTGTCAGATATATTCAAAGTTGCTTTTTAAAAAGTATGATCCCAGGATCAATAGTTTGGGCATCATTTGAGAATCTGCTACTGAGGTTGTTAAGTTCCACTGAGTTGCCTATACGACTCACAGCTATTCTATGAGCAGATGTGAATCTTGTCCTGTCTTGCACCATTCTCAGTCTCTGTCATGCTCAAGCCCGTGTGTCGTCGTCCCTCTGTCAATTCATTCCTTTCTTTCTTGTACCCTTTCTCCTTCCCAGAATGATGTCTCTTTCCAAGAATGGGTTCCTCCTGAAAATACGACCAAAGTAAGGGAACCTTTTTCCACCTTCCTTACCTCTAGGAAGCACCTTTTTTAAAATGCACTTGTTTATTCTTTTGGCAGTTCATGGTATATTCAATACTTTTTTCCCCAACTCCACAATTCAAAGACAAACACTTTCTTTGATCTTCCTTATTAATTTAATTGTCCAACTTTCAGATGAACAGGAAGGAACTGAAAAGACCATGGCTTCAATGAGACACAGCTTAGTCCTTAAACTGACATCCTTGTTCTTTAGAATTCTGGAGCAGTCCCTGATAGATTTTCCCAATGACTGCAACAACACATCTTCGGATTCTGACCGCTGCAATCATGGGTGTTGACTGTGGATCCAAGCAAAATTAAATCATTGACAAATTTATTTTTTTTTCCCCTACATCTATCAGGATGTTGCCTATTGGTTCAGTGGTGAAGATTTTCGTTTACTTGATGTTGAGCTGTAACCCATATTAAAGTCTATGGTCTTTGATCTTCTGCAGGAGCTGCTTTAATTCTTCTTCACTTTCTACAAGCAAGTCTGTGTCATTGACATAACTCAGGTTGTTGATGAATCTTCCTCCAATCCATATGTTACGTTGTTCCTCTTACCATACCGCCCAGCTTCTCCAATGATCTGTTCAGCATACAGAATGAGAAGGCATGGAGAAAAGATACAACCCTGACATACATGTTTCCTTACTGTAAACCACACAATGTTTCCTTGTTCTGTTCAGGGATCTGTGACAGTCAGGGTGTGTATCAGCCTGGCTGGCCATGATTCTCTGGCTGGCAGTTAGAACGTACTCATCTCCTTCATGAGATGTGACATGATATAATCACCTCCATGACAGAGCCTGCGATGAGCAGCAAACCAGTTGAAAGGGAATTTCCTGGGGGATGTGGCCTGTCCTGGATATGTACAGGTGTCTAACAGAGTTCTCTTGCTTTTTGCTCAATCAAGATCTAGCATCTGTTCATCATCACCTGACTTCAGGCTCTTTGGATTTGAGGCAATGGCCTGCTATACTTACTGCTCACCTAACTGGATTTGTCAGCCTCCACAGACAACTGCCTGCTGCCTGATCAACCCTGGACTCCTCAGTCTCTGCAGCTATGGAGTCAGAATAAACTTTTATTCTAATATCTGACCCACATACTTGGGACTTGCCAGCTTCTACAACGGTGAGAGGCATTTATTGAATACAAACTTTTCCTCATTCCCTCTTTATATGTATAAGCTTCACCGATTTTGTTTCTGTAGAGAAGCCAGCCTAAGATGCGGGGTGAATTGGAAAATCTGAGAGAAAAGACCTTAGCAATATGTATTTTTCAGCATGCACTCCATTTAAGATTGAGAACCAGTATATTAAAGAAAAATGGGTTTTCTTCATTGCCTTTTCATTAAACACACTGTTAATACCCAATCCTACTGCCAAAGAGTCTGTTTGATTCATAGAGACTCTGAAGGGCAGGGGAGTAGTGTTGCACAGGTCTCCAAAGTTTAAAATCTTTAAAGATGCTGAGTGCAACATCTTCTGTGGAACAGCCATGTGGAACAGGTTTGAACTGCTGACCTTTACGTGAGCAGTGAAGCGCTTCCGCACCCTAGCACTAACATTGTGCTACAGAGGTCAGTGGGTCAAATTCACCAGGCGCTCTGTGGGAGGTAGATGTACAGCCTGCTTCCACAAGGACAACAGCGTAGAGAATCCTCAGGGCCGTTCTACTCTGTCCTGTGAGTGTCCATGGTCACAATGAGTAGATATCACATACATGGCAATGAGCTTATGAATAGTATTAATCATCAAGAGGGAATCAAACAAAAGCTCATGCTGTAGTCACCAGGCCTTCTGGGAAGGGCTGTGCAATGAGGGCAGCACTGCACAGCACAATCTCCTCTGTATAACAATTTTTTATTTCCTGATGACATTTCCATGGAGCTGGCTTTTAAGTGCAGCTGCCCTGTCCCAGCTGCCTCACCTCTTCAGCCACAAGAGGGCTTCTGTTGCTGAGTTCCTAATCTGGGCCACATCCGCCTCCACTTCATGCAGCACTATCTTCTGGAGGGTGGTAAACTCTTTCTTATTGGTTATATACTTCTGATTTACTTTCTGAAGGAAAAGGAGAAGGATCCAAGTTAAAAACTCTAATATTAACAAGCAAATAAGTATTATGATTTATAATACTAGCAATCATGTCTCTAAGAAGCCATAATAAATGAAGCCCTGATTACCTTTTGTCCTTATGTTTCCAAGGTATTCTAGGTTTTTGTCTTAGAATTCTTAGGAGGTTGAATGGGAATTAAGTTTCTTGGGGTTTTAAAGCATTGTTTGCTTGGTTTTCCACCCCTGCCTCTGAATCATAGCTGCCCTGTGAGAAACCTTTCCTGCGGAGTGTAATGTTAAATAACTGTCTGTTCTGGAAAAAAATTTCCTACTATTCCTCCTAAACACAGTTTCTAAAGAAAGTGAAGTCTAATCAGTTGTTCAGATAAATATTCCATTATATATTCGGATAAGATATTTCATTATATTCTCAAGAAGGCAATGTTTAATCTACATTTAAAATAGGACACAAACTCTAACAGGAGTTATGGAGTGTAAAACAACTCTCTCATTCCACAGGGAGGAAACAGGATCTTCTGAGTCCTGGGCCCTAGATGGTTACTGCACAAGTCTACACTTTCTGGAAAAATAGGATTTACCACTGTAGAAGCCCAGAACTTCATAGTAACAGTGTTGACATAAAAGTAAAATCCCACTGATCTATGCTCTAAGGCATGAAAAGGGAAACCTTGATCTCGTGTTTAAAATTAATATTGCACCTTCAGGAGAGCTTAACTCCAGCAAACAATAAGGGCTTACTAATTCCCTTATTAAGATTCAAAGTATGATAAAATGTTTGCTTTCTGAAAGAAATTCAATACATTTCTTGTTCATGAGTTATTGTCAAACAAAAAATATTGAAAACATTCCCCCTCCCCCCTTTATTTAAAAGCTTCTACAAACAAGTATTTGCTGTTATTCTTTATCATCAAGTCAGAACTGACGTACAGCTGACCTTTCACTGGCTTTCCAGAAGCAGTAAACCTCACGGGAGGAGAATACCCATTCCTTTCTCACAGGGTAGCTGGAGGATTTGAACCATACACCTTTGTGTTGGCAGTGCAATTCCTTATCACTAAGCCACTAGAAGTCCCTAAACCAGTACACCCACCTTAATATTTCCAACAAGATCCATTTTAACAGGTGCAAACACTGTAGGGCCAAGTTTATCTGGGAAAAAGAATTAAAAGAAAACATGTTTGGAAAAAATATTTTTTTTCAATTAAAATTTTAAATAGTATCAATGAGTATAGCAGATGCTGTCCACAATAATTTTCATATTTTTAACCTTTCCAGTTACTTTCATTTTTGCATTTTAGTAATTGTCTAAACATAAGTTTTTCAGGTTTTCGGGATACTATCATCATATTTTTATATTATTCTACTCTGAGTAATTGCAATGAGGTTGTCAAGTGGCAGCAGAGATGAAGAGGTATCATACCACTGTAATGCTAGGACCACACTGCCCAGTATGGGAGCCACTAGAAAGAATTCTGGCTATTGAGTACTTGCACTGTGATCGGGTAAATGGAGACGGAAGGTAAGTGAAAACTACCCATCAGAATTCAAAGACTTCAGATCATAAAAGAATGTGAGATACCTGATCAATGACTCTTTTTATCATTATTAAAATTATGATATTTTGGATGTATGAGTGAAACATCATTAAAATGAATTTTGTGTTTTATCTTTACGTTTTACCGTGCCTAGCAGAAAATTTTAGATTATGTATGTAGCTCAAATAATAGTCTAGGACAAGATGATATACTGAAAAAATAAAACAAAGGCAAGAAGAATGATGTGCTGCTAAAATGCCAAAAGAGAAAATAAGAACGCTCAATGAATTTGCTAGAACTCAGGAAAAGAAACAAATGATTTTTTTTAAAAAAAAAAGCAATTATGTGTATATGCTTTAATGAATAACTGAAAATGAAAGACTTTTTATAATAGTATCAAAATATGAAAGTCTAAAATTTGTTCTTAACAAAAGATGTGTAAGATCTCTACAACAGAAATTACACAAAACATGATAAAGAAAAAGTAAAAATAAATTAAGAGTTATGGCATATTCAGAAATGAGAAAACTCAATGTCGTTTAAGAAGACAATTTTCCCCTAACTAGTATAACTAAACACTATCTAATTTAAATCCCTGAAGGTTCTTTAATAGCTACTAGAAAGTTAAAATGTGTATGTTAATGCAAAGAATTTAAGATTGTCAAAGTAATCTAGAAATGGGGACACAAATTGGAAGATTCACATGATCTGATTTCAAGCCTTACCATTAAGGTAAAGTAATTAAGCCATTGTAGCACTGGTATAAGGAAGAGAAAAACAGATAAATGGAAAAGAAGAGTAAGTCCGTAAACAGTTGCACACTTAAAGGCAACAAAGCCACTAAACCACTATAAAGGGGGCGAGGGGAGGGGAATACTTTCAACAATGATGCTTGAACACTCAATCATAAGGAAAACAAATGAAAAAAATTAACTTCAACACATTCCTTCATACCACTAATTCCACGATGGACCACAAACAAAATCTCCAAAGAGAAAAGTAGCATCTAGAGGAAAATCATGTCATGAGGCTGTCTCTGTGATCTTGGTCTAGGCTAAGATTTCTTTTTTGTTGTTGTTATTGTTAGGTGCCACAGAACCAGGTACAACACATAGAGACCCCGTGCACAACAGATCTGAACCCTATCCTATCCTGTCCCATCCTCACAATCCCTGATGCACTTGAGCCTACTGCAGCAATCCACTTGGATAAGGACCTTCCTCTCCTTCGCCGACCCCTCATCTTTTTTTAAGCATGACATTATCTACAAGGAGTACTCTGGCTGCACTTTCTCTAAGATGTATCTGTTTTGTTCTTTTGGCAGTTCATGAGGATGCTCAATACTCTTCTCCAACATCACAGCTCAAAGGCATCAATTCTTCTGTCATCCTTATTCACTGTCCAGCTCTCAGCAGCACAGCAAATGACTGAAAGGGTCATGGTTTGGTTTAGGCACACCTCAGTCCTCAAACTAACATCATTGCTCCTCAGTAATTTGGAAAGGTCCCTGGATGTACTTTGCCAGTGCAATATGTCTCCTGATCTCCTGACGGCCGGTACCAAGTGTACTGATTGAGATTGAAGTAAGATGAATTTGCTGACAGCTTCAATCTTGTATCCACTTATCATGTTGCCTATTGTCCACTGGTGAGGATTTTGTTTTCTTCATGTTGAGATGCAATCCATACTGAAGGCTGCAGTGTCTGATCTTCTGTAGCAACTGTTTCAAATCCTCTTCACTTTCAGCAAGCAAGGTTATGTATGTTATTTGCATACCAAAGACTATAGATGAGTCTTTCTACTACCCAGATGCCACATTCTTTTTCATAGAGTCCAGCTTCTCAAATAGTTTGCAAAGTATACAGACTGAGTAAGTATGGAGAAAGATACAACCCTAACACATGTCTGTCTTAATTTTAAAGCATATAGTGTTTCTTTGCTCTGTTCACACAACAGCTAGGTCTGGGTACAGGTTTAGCACAATCACAATTAAGTTTTACAGGGTTCCCATTCTTCTCAATGTTAGACATAATTTGTTATAATCCACACAGTAAAATGCCTTTGCATAGTCAATAAAGCACAAGTAGATATTCTGGTATTCTTTGCCTTCAGACCAGATCCCTCTGACATTAACAATGTCTCTTGTGTCCATAACCTCTTCCAAATCTAGCTTGACCTTCTGGACAGTTCTCTGTGTACTGTTCTAGCCCTTTTTGAATGATCTTCAGAATATTTTGCTTGCATGTGATATTAATGATATTGTTCATTAATTTCCACATTCTGTTGGATTATCTTTCTTGAGAATGGGAACAAGTATGGATCTCTTCCTGACAGTAGGCCAGGAAGCTGTCCTCCAAATATCTTGGCATAGACTGGTGAGTACAGCCGGGTCTGCATGTGTTAATTGAAACAAGTCAACTGGTATCCCATTGATTCCTAGGACCTTATTTTTTGCCAATGCCTTCAATACAGCTTCCATTTCCTCCTTCACTGGCTCTTGTTCATATGGTACATCCTGAATTTTCCAGTGTCAGTCAGTGCTTTCTGGTACAATGACTTGTTTATTCCCTCCATCTTCTTTTGGTGCTTCCTGGATTGTTTAAGATTTGCTCATAGCATCTCTAAGTATTCTAACACAAGGCCTCAATTTGGTTCTCAGTTCTGCTTGCGAAATGCCAACTGAGTTCTTCTCTTTTCATTCTCCAATTCTTGGACATGACATATTCTATTAAAATTTTATTATCTTCTTGAGCTCTCCTCTGAGATGTTCAGAGACAAGGACCTTCCTCCAGGACTTGCCAGAGAGAGAAAATCTTCCTCAGAGCTGGTACTTGGTATACGAACTTGAAGCCTTCTAATCTGAGACTTATCTGTCAGTTTGTTTTACTGGGGGAATGACTAGTATACTGCTAATTACTCTGCAGCTTGGATATCTGTATTCTTGCTTGTTTAGTACAGCATGTGTCTGTCAGTTTGCTGTACTGAAGTAACTTGTAGGTCTTGTGCTACTAAAAGCTGTGCCACCAGTGTGTAAAATTCCAGGAAGGTCACTCATGGTGGACAGATTTTAAAGAGATCTCAGATGAAGATCGACTAGGAAGAAAGACTGGCCATCTACTTCTGAAATAGCAGGTCTCTGAAAACCTATGGAAAAGTTTCTTAGGACACTAAAATCACTAACTATGAAAGAAAAATTGGATACAGGACTTCATAAAAATTAAAACCATGTGCTCTTCAAAAGACACTACCACGAAAAAATAAGACAAATTAACATTCTGGGAGAAAATATTCACAATGCATAAATCTAATGTGGAATTTTATCCAAAATATAGAAAGAATTCTTACAACTCTTAAAACAACTTTTAAAAATCAGTTAAACATCTGAAGGCATCCTTCATAAAGGAGTATATAGCAATGACTATCAGATTTAAAAGTACTTAATTGCGTTTACAGCTCAACTCATTGCTGTTGAGTTGGAATCGACTCCTAACTGACACTTCAGTGGGTTTAGAGGTTGTAAATGGCATGGAATGAGGCTGCCCATCTTTCTCCAGTGCAGCAGCTGGTGGATTCAAACTCCTTACCCACAAGGCCACCAGAACTTCCTGAATATTACCATCAGGTAAATGCCAATTTAAGCCTTAGTGAGTGAGATACTGGCAACACCAAATGCTGCCTGGGGAAGATGTTTAGCAACAGGAACACTCACATACAGCTGGTGAAAGTGTACAATTATGTAATCACTAACACTCACACATTGCTGGTTAAAGTGTATTATTACATAACCATGCTATAAAACTCTCCAGGAGCTTCTTACAAAGTTAAAACACACATCTACTCTAAGAATTAGCAGTTCCACTCCTAAATATTCAAGAAAATAAATGCCCACAAAAGGATAAAAAAATGCTCATAGCAGCTTTATTTGTAATAGGCCCAAACTGGAAACTACTTGTATAGTAAGAAATTTGGCCTTGCCTAAAGAGAGGTCTGGTTTTCCTTTCCCCCCCCTTACTTTTGAAGTTTTATACCCCTCCCCATTCACATGTGTTTCACACAATCATTCCCATACATTGCATCTTATAAAACTAATCACCATTGATATATGGCCACTATTACTCCATCTTTTCAGATCCCCAACTGGATCTTTCCTAATTCTTTCACCCATTAAACTCTGTGACCCTGTGATTTCCCCCTCCCCTTCTCTTTTTGGACATTTATACACATCTTACTGTGCATACACATCTTACTTACATTGTCTTTATGAGCCTGAGTTAACTCATTTAGAATAATACTCTCTGGCCTCTCCCATGTTACACAGTATATAACAATATATATATTATGCGAGAGGCAAGAGAGGTCTGATTTATTTTGGTCCTAGCTCGTGAGTGCTAACCTGGAATTGCCTGAGTGACAGAAATGTCTGTGTTGATGGTACCAGAACACACCCAATCATGTCCTATCAGCTCACTGTGAGGGTATGCCGTGGAGGAGACGGAGTTCAACCATGTGAGTAAACAATCATCAGTCATGACTATGAAATTTGCTACTAGTTACTATCTTGTCAACTCCAACTCATGGTCACTTTATATGTAATAAACAAAACCCTGTCTGGTCCTGTGCCATTTCCAATTAATAATGTCTCAGTAACAACTATGAATGCTGAAGCTTGAGTAAGCTTCCCCAATACTCCGTTCCTATTTTACACACTTCAATATGGTGGAGGGCAATACAGCTGGGGAAAACAGAAGCTTCCTATTTGGAACTTTCTCTGATATTTTGAGTTCAACAGCTTTCAATGAGTTCTGTAAGTTCTTCAGTGACTTACTAAACATGAAGATGGTTTTGGGGAACCCTCTGAACTTTCAGCTGGTGTCAGAAGTAAGGGCTGTCTGGTAATTGTACCCTCAGACTGTGCAGTTTAGCTAACCCTGGGTTCTATTCAAATGTTCATTACTAGGGGAAATAAGTAACCAAATTATGGTATATTCATTCAAAAAAGTATGCCTAAGCAATAAAAAGGAAATTAACAACTGCTATAAGGATTAATCTTAAAAGTACACTGAGAGAAAAGCTACACAAAAACTAGTACATACTGCATGATTCCATTTATGTAAGTTGTAAAATAAGAAAAATTAATGTATAGTGAGAGAAATGGTGTTCTCTGGCTGGGTGATGGGCTGAGGTCTGACCAGCACTGAGAAATTTTGGTGGTGATGGAAATTTCCTTTGTCTGGAGAGGGTCATATAACGCTGAGCAGATGCAGCTGCCAAACTCATCTAACCCTAACACCCACGTGCTACAGATCTCACTGAACGTAAGTTAATGCCAGGAATTTTAAAATATGCATGAAAAAGCATAATTAAATGGATTACTGAGTAAACCACACTAATGATCCTTGTTTCTGACTTTATAAGAAGCAAATGCAAGGGTAAATTAAAAAAGAACTTATGCATACACTTTTTAATATCTCTAAGAAATTTTCTTATTTAATTTTTCACGGAAGCAATGGATAAAAGAGCTCCTTGTTGGCACAGTAGTTAAGTGGTGCAACAGTTAGCCTACAGGTCAGCAGTTCTAACACACCAGCAACTCTGCCTTCTGCAGTTTTTATATCACATAGGGTCACTAGCAATCAGCCATCTCAATAGCACAGCACCACCACCATCAATACATATGAAGATCTATTTCGCAAGCAACTACTTCCACTTTTGTTTTTAAATTAAAATATCCTCTTTTCATTATACTGCTCTGAGGACAATATTTACGCATTATCAGAATGAAATTAAAATATGCAAAAATTTTTAAAGTCATATAGTTTTAACTGTAAGGGATACTGACACAAAGAGTTAAGATCATCTCACTGTATTCACAGTACATGGTATTTTTAGTGAAAAATAATTGCACTGAATGAGACTCCAGAGACTAAAAAATGAAAGGCAATTGCAATCTTACCTAATACAGGAACCACAGCATAACAAGATGCCAAGAATGCTTCTGTGGGAATGCCACTATCTTCCAGAAGTTCAATGTCACTAAAGCTAAATAATTCAGCAATACAGGAAAGATCGAAAATACAAAATTAGCAGTCTGCCAACTCACAGGCAGTCAGTAATAGAAACAGCTGAGGACAGATGATTTGGCCTCATTTTCCAGATATACCCACTGATTCTTTTTTTCATTATAAAGTCTAATAAAATCTGTTCCCAAAGATAATCTCCCACACACAAGCTATCATCTGTTCCTAGGGTGTTTCCTCAGGATCCAACTCCTTCTCATTCATTGCTTCAGACAAGGTAGACAGTAAAGAAGAAGTCAGGCATACCACAAATTAATCTTTTAAACAATGCCAACATGTGAAAGAGACACCAGGGCTGATTTTCCCCCAAAGAAGCTAATTTCCAACTGCCAGTGGTTTTAGAGGTTGAGGATACCTGGTGTTCATGGTACTGAAGAAAGTTGGGATGACTTCGCTGCCTTCTTCCCAGTGGGATTCTGAGCTATAAGAGGAGTTTGATTCGGGCTGTGCTAAACTGTCATGATTCCCCAAGTTTCCTTCTCCATCTTCTTTCATTATTTCATCTTGAACTGCAAAGCAGAAGATAACCATTAGTAAACAGAAACAAAAATCTGTGAAACAGAATATATGTATATACACACACGTGTATAAACACACAAAATCAGATTTATATTCTGCCTGCTTTCACTGAACAGTGTATCATGAATATTTTAAAAATCAATCAACGTTCTTTCAATTATGATTTTCATGACTGTACAACACTGTATCATGCCCATGTAAAGGTCATTTAAGAGGTTTACAAAATTTTACTACAGCAAATAATGCCTTAAGGAATATCCCTGTCCAAAGCACTTAAGTCTGACTATTCTCTGGGGACAACTTTCTAGAAATAAAATTACAGAGTCAAAGAAATGAAAATACTGTTTTAATGGAAATTCTCCAGTCAGCATTATTTACTCAATGACTAAAGAAAGAAACCTGTGAATTGTTTATTCCAGATTATCATCGCCACTCAGTCAATTCCAATGAATAGTGACCCTCCATTACGTTTCTGAGGCTGTAAATCTTGTTACATGGTCACCTTACATTTCTTCCCTTGATATGCTCCAATTTCTCTCTACAGATCTCTCCCTTCCAGTGACTGGTAGATTCAAACCACCTGACATTCACCCTTTTGGTTGGCAGTGAAACACAGTCTATTCCACCAGAGTACCACTGTTGTTACATGCCGTCTAGTCACTTGTGACTCATAGCAACCCCATGTACAAAAGCTCTGAACCCTGCTTTATCCTGAGCCAACTTTATTGTCTCTGACACACTGGACTCCATTACCCCAGTCACTGAATCAATCCATCTCATCGAGGGTCTTCCTCTCCTGCACTGTCCATCCACCCTCCCAAGCATGACGTCCCTCTCCAAGGATTATTCCCCTCCTTGCAACATGTCCAAGGTATGCCAGACAGAGCTTCTAAATCCTTGCCTCCAAGGAGCACCCTTGTTTTACCCTTTCCAGAACAAACTTGTTTGGTATATTCAATACTCTTCTCCAGCATTACAGCTCAAAGGCATCAATTCTCCTTCTATCATCCCTAGTCATTTATTGTCCAACTTTCTGATGCATAGCATGTAATTGCAAAGACCATGGCCTGGGTCAGGCATACCTTAGTCTCCAGACTGATATGGTTGTTCTTCACTACGCTGGAGAGGTCCCTGGCAGCAGACTATCCCAATGCAATTTGTCTTTTGACTGCTGGCTGCTGGTACCAAGAGTATTGATTGTGGAGCCAAGCAGTCTCTGAAGCTGTTAATACATTGCTGCAAATGATGGCTACAAGTGTTTCTAAGCATGGTCGTCAATTTAAAAGTGTGCGGCAGCGTGTTAACAATCTCAGTATCTTCACTGTCTATCATGATATTACCATTACCTCAGATTAACAGCCAAAAAACAGGGAACTTTCTTTTCCTTAATTTACTTATAAAAGCAAAGTATCTTATTCTGGACGAGGGAAGAGAAGTTTAAAAGATGTTAAATTTTAAAATATTTATTAAATATTTATAATACCCTGAAAAGCTCTTGGATTGGCTTTTCGTGATTAGTAATGCTTCAGTGCAAAGGAGTTAGCAAATTCAAAAGGACAGCATTCTCAACTACTGACCTACCATAGGATGAAATTCAGGATTTGGGTTTGCTGACCAGAAAGATGGCCAAGTAAACAACAGTTGACCATGGGAGGTGAATTTTGACAGTTTAGGCCCTAGTAAGAAAACAGCTGTATGAGAAACTGAAGGTCTCAATTTTACATTCTTATGCTGACATGATAGTTTTGAGTTGAAAGTACTTTGGGGTTCAGGGTGAACGACCAGTGAAATAGTCATACCATCAAAAATAAGCACAAGCAGTTATTGCTCACGAATGCCCATCACAGGAGGAACACTGATCAGGATCTTCATTGTACCTTCTAAACATCACAGCAGGGAGCTCTGGTGGTCCACTGGTAAGGAGTAATGCTGCCAACCCAAATGCATGTGGTTCAAACCCACCAGCTTCTCTGAGGGAGAAATCTACTGCCTCTGAAAATCCACTGGAGGGTCAGAGAGGAGTTGGTTTCTGCTTCAGAGCACACAACAACAAACACTGTGTCACACAGGATAGCAGAATACTGTTTAATTAAATGTCCCAGTACACCATCTCGAGGTCAGTTCCTACCAAGTGCTGGGTCACACCATGGATAAACAGTCAAGATCCTATTGTTCAAAGGCTTGTTTTAGTCATTCAACATTTTGTGTTTACCTGTTACATGATCATCTATAGTGTCTTCACTTGATATGCTACAGTCTCTCTCTACAGATTTCAAACAAAAGGAGCTCTTGTTTTTCATTAGGTCGTCGTCTTCATCATTTATTTCCATACTTAAAGATCCATTTTCACAACTATTCATCTCAATTTGCCTGAAATTTTTTTAAAAGGAAAAAAAAATTTAAAAACTCTAATTATTTGGTCACAAATAGGATGCTCAGGTAAATCTTATTTTTGGAGGTGGAAAGAGAGTTCACAATCTCCTGCTTCCTTTACATCAGTTAAAAATCTGAGTGGTTGAAACCAGACTAGCTCACTTGCCTGCCTCCCAGTGCAGGTGGTCTGTCTATGCCAGGGGTGGGCCTGTCTCACAGCTGTAGTGGAGAGCAATTAATAGCTCTTGGCACCCTCAGATGACCACCAATCACCCAAATGTCCTACTCCACAAAAGTGTAAAGAAACAGTCATTGACGGTTCCTTGCTTTTCAATCAGCTTTCTCCAGGTGCCACATAGAACAATTCTCTCAGTTTCCTCAGTGTCTCCCTAGGAGATGTTTTATCATCTGGACTCAAAATACTACGCCACTTCCATGTGTTTACCATGCAGTTAACTGTCTAGAAGCCACATGCAGAGAACTCCCTGCAAATGATCTGACAAAAACCAAAAGCAAAAAATTGATATATCCAGAAGGGACTATTAATCTTTACATTAACTGAAAAAGCTATTTGGTATGTAAGAGGATCAGCTGATTCATCTGTTAAGGGGCGGGGGGGAATCAGAATAAAAAAAAATTTTTTTTTCTTCTAATAAAAATAAGGACCAAGCTTGGTGAGCTCAGGGAAAATACTTCCTATTTTCTAAGGAAATACCAGAGCTCAGTTCAGCAATTCAAAAATATAAAACTACTTCAGGAAATACCTCAAAAGACAAAAATGCATAAAGATATCCCTGGAAGAAATAATGAAAAAATAACCAAATACAGAAGAGGGAAAAATTATCTACAAAAAAAAAATTAACTTAGTAAACAACAGTGTATTAAAGAAGATAAAATATTAAAAACATATACACTATACATATATTTCTATATTCCAATGCACTGGAATATAAGAAGGGAGAGGGAGCAATAATTGGATAAAGAACCCAAAATAACATGAACTATAGACATTTTCACTAAATGTTTTTATCAAAGATATATTTGTTGTTGTTATTGCTGACCCTCATGTGGGTTTTCAGAGGTAGTAAGTGATTGCATGGGAGGAGACTGCCCAACTTGGTCCACTGGAGCAGCTGGTAGATTTGAACTTCATAACTTCCTGTTAAGAGTACAACTCCTAAACTAACTCCTTAGTAAGTCACCAATGCTCCTTAGGATACATTTAGAGGAACAGGAATAGTCTGGATTTTTATATTCTTTAAATCTTTTTTTTATACTTAAAAAAGTACCCAAGCCTCCTTTTTTAAAAACAAATTAGCACAGCCTTTTCTGGATAAAGGTATGTTTAAATCAACGGTCAACAATGAGAAAAAAGTTTTCAAATTCAGTATACTTCCCCAAACCAAACCCACCGCCAAGAGTTCATTCCAAGAGTTCACAGTAACTCTACAGAACAGAACAGCACTGCCCTGTAGGGGTACAGAACTGTAAACCTCTATGGAAGCAGAATGCTCTATATTTTTCCCATGGAGAAGCTAGTGAGTCCAAGACTCTGATCAGCTTAGGAGCAGAGTGCGTAACTACTGCACCACCAAGGTTCTCAGAGTCAGGGGTGAGATGAGAACCACAGCTGAGGGAAGGGCAAGCATCCTCAGCATGAGTCAGTGCAGAGTGAAGGGTCATCACCTGCCACGGGCACACTGAGATCTGACACCGTTTCCTTCTGATAAACCTCCAGTCATGGGAAAAACTGCCATACTATCAAAACACCCTTTTTCTTTCTAAAACAAGGAATTTGTTGTTGTTGTGATGTGCCGTCGAGTCACTTGCGACTCAGAGTGACACTATGCACACAACAGCCCTAAGCTCTGCTCTGTCTTGTGCCAATCGCACTATCTCTGACACTCCCATCGCAATTATCCCAGTCACTGACTCAATCCACCTCATAGAGGGCCTTCCCCTCCTGCACTGTCCCTCCACCTTCCCCAGCATGATGTCCTTCTCCAAGGACCGGTCTCTCCTCACAACATGTCCAAAGTATGTTAGACAGAGCCTCAGAATCCTTGCCTCCAAAGAGCCACGCGGTTTAACCCTTTCCAGGATGAATCTGTTTGTTTTCTTGGCAGTCCATGATACACTCAATACTCTTCTCCAGCACCACAGCTCAAAGGCATCAATTCTCCTTTTGTCCTCCTTGGTCACTGTCCAACTCTCTGATGCATAACAAGTGATAGCAAAGACCATGGCCTGTATCAGACGCACCTTAGTCTCCAGAGAGACACCATTGCTCTTCAGTAATTTGGAGACGTCCCTAACAGCAGACTTTCTCATGGCAATGAGCCTTTTAATTTCCTAGCTACTGGTGCCAAGAGTGTTGACTGTGGAGCCAAGCAAACTAAAGCTGTGAACAATCTCAATCTCTTCACCATCCATCCTGATGCTTCCAACTGGCTCAGTGGTGAGAATCTTTGACTTCTTGACATTGAGCCTCAATCCATATTGGAGGCTGCAGTCCTTGACCCTCTGCAGCAGGTGCTTCAGGTTCTCCTCAGTTTCAGCAAGAAGGGTTGTGTCATCTGCATGATACAGACTGTTGATAGATCTTCCACCAATCTTGACACCACATTTCTCCTCATAGAGCCCAGCCTCCCAGGTGATCTGTTCTGCATACAGGTTAAAAAGGTATGGAGATAGGATACATCCCTGGCGTACGCCCTTCCCAATTTTGAACCATGCAGTGTTCCCCTGCTCTGTTCTGACGACTGCCTCCTGGTCCAAGTATAGGTTTTGCATTAGAACTATCAAGTGTTCTGGGATTGCCATTCTTCTCAGTCAGCCAGTTTGTTATGATCCACACAGTCAAATGCCTTTGCATAGTCAATGAAACACAGATACACATTCCTCTGGTATTCCCTGCTGTCAGCTAAAATCCATTTAACATCAGCTACAATATCCCTAGCACCATGACCCCTTCTAAACCCAGCCTGGACTTCTGGCAGTTCTCTGCTAAAGTGCTGTTCCAGTCGTTTTTGGATAATCTTCAGTAGAATCTTGCTTGCATGTGAAAAACTATGTACAAAACAAGGAATAGTCTTACTTATTTTTAGAAATAAGAATAAGAAAAAGTCATCATACCTTTCCAATGAATTATGAATTGGTATAATAGGATGTTTCATCTTTAAAAGAAGCAAAAGAAAATGAAAGTTTAGTTGTTAAACTTTCAACAGAGCATATTTAGAAGTCTATCACATATAACTATATGACAATAATATGTGCTGCCTCACTCTACAGGTGCAGTCCCCAATTTCTAAGAAAAAATATAGTGGTCTTTTTCTCCCCCCTAACTGCAGTGCATTATCTACACAGATAAAAACATTTGCCAAACTAACATTTTTACATGTAAAATTCAGTGACATAGATTCTGTTTATGATATTGAGGAAGCTCGAATTTTTTGAAAGGCTAAGTTTATGACCTCCGTCATGTTCATTAAACATTTACAAATATGAGCTGGCACCACATCAAACAATGAAACCATAAACACTACAGGTCCCAGGCCATAGATCATTATAAATCATGGTGAGGCTAAAACAGAGGTGTATATAGGAGCGCTTATTGTTGTTGATTGCTTTTGAGTTGAGCACGACTCATAGCTACTGTATGAACAAAAGGCCTGAAGCTCCTCTACAACTATTGACATTTATCAAAGTTCATAAAGTTTCCAGAGGCATGTTTTTTAGGAAATGAATCCTAAAGATTCAAGGAAGAGAAGATTAAATCTTGGAGGCTGGCACAGTGTAGGCAAGACTCAGTTGAAGCCAGGAGGTTGGGAGGAAGATGTTATATACTAGAGACAGGTTCTAGCAGTAATATGGCAAGAAATGACAGACTCGATTCGGGAGATAAATGATTCTCAAATTCTATTTTGAGAAACTGAAAGGAGATTAAAGGTAACAGAAGGCAAAGTTTACTAAAAAAAAAATCTTTATAAATCATCAAAGGCTAATGAAGAGCACAACTTGGGCTAATGACTCCCTAGGCTTCTCAACTTCCCCCCCCCCCCCCACGTCCTGCTGTGACCAGGCTGAGCAGGGCTCACCTTGCTGGACTTGAGCATGGCCAGCTGTGGCGAGCCCGGGGGAGTGTGACAGAGCAGCTCTGAGGTGAAGGCAGCATTTGCGATCTGCATGCACTCTTCCAGTGTCTTCAGGAAAGTGTTGCAGGTTGATTTCAGCAGAGTTCCCACATCAATTCCCTCCTACGAAACAACCAGAGTGGAAGACTCCCTTACCTTTGCCAAAAAAGAAAAAGCCCAATTGTGGAATGTTCTTTGAAGTATTTTATTTAAGTCATAACAATATACCCATCTTGTTTTCTGGACAAGTACATCCACTACTTATTAAAAAAGAATATATAGAGAAATGACTAAATGAGTTAGATGTATCTTTTAAGCTCACATAAGTCTTGCTCTCAATATGACCCTTCATGCTCACCCACCACTCCAGGTGAAGGCAACAACTTCTTTTGACTGAACAATACTATGTGCCAGATCTGCCCACAGAGCTAGTCTACAAGGGCTGATATACACGATATAGAACTACAAGCAGGGAAATCAATGCAAGATTGTCTCTGACTGCTGGAGTAACAAATAAGGTTCTCATGGTGATGAGAAAGCACAAACACCACATTACTTGCTTTCAGAATGAGTATTCCGGCTTTCCACACCGATGAGTCCTAGTGGCTTCAGCAACTGAGCCTCATAATCACTCTGAAACACTGAAGTAGATTTTTCCCCCAACAAGTTATTTGTCCAGAGTGATATTCTTTTGGATATAGATATTGATAATTGTTCAGGAAAGTGGGCCTCATCTGTACGAGGGAGTGCAGCAATCACATCTTAGTAACTTCTAAGTTTTTCTCAATTTTGTTTTTTTAACAAGCCATCAGGGGATGTGGTTCATTGCATACTACACATTCATTAGTAGGTCCCCAAGGTACTTACTGCCAGCACCTACTTCTATAAACTAAAAATTGCTAAGCTCATATTTTTCCCTCCCTCTAGACCGAGGCTTCTAAGCATCAGTTCTACTGATATTTTTCACTGGCTAATGTTGGGGGGATGAGGAGGGTAAAGGTTCGCCAGTTTACTGTCGGCTGCTTAGCAGCGCCCCTGGCCTCCACTCACCAGATGCCAATAGCCGTTACACAGCCATGGAAAAAAAAATTCTCCCAACAATGGCAAACGTCCCTGTGACAGGGAAACTGCTCTGATTTGAGAAACACTGCTTTTGACTATAAACCCCTCATGAGTAGTGCTGAAATGATTCTTAGGTACACTACCCTTCTCAGCCCGCAGCGTTCTGTACACAGTAGGCAGCTGCTGAAGGACTACAAGAGCCCACAGGATGTTGAGTGGCATGAGTTACCTCATCTTTATTAGAAAAACTCCAAACACCTCCCTTACCAGAAGCACTGTGTACTTCCACTTAAGGGTCAATATAAAACCATGTTAAAAAATAAATATTATTTATCAGATTTGAGAGCAGAGACTTCTGGTAAATATGATCATTTCAATTCTTTGCTTAACATCAGAAGACAGATACTTCAATATACATTTGAAGGGTGTGTGAATAAGACCTTTATTGTTGTTGTTAACTGCGTCGAGTCACAGGCGACTCATAGCAACCCTATGAAGCAAAGTCCTCAACCCCTGTGTCTTTCATCCTCTCTCCAGAGACCTTTATTAAACATGTTAAAAATTGCAATCCTTCCTAAGATGGAAAGCAAAAAGCTGTGTTTTGGTCTTTGAAAGTATTAATCTATCCTAATGAATAGCAATTATAACAGCGAAATAGAATCCTGTTAGTCTCCTCAACGGTGACAGACACATTGTTCACAGATACTAGGTTGGCATCTTAGTAGGGACGTTTGGAAAAATACCTATTCTGTCAGACAGGTACGGCTTTACTAAAAGAAAGTAATGCAAATTAGGGGGAAAATGTTAGTAAGTCAGCACTAATAAAGTTTAAATATTACCACCTTATTAGCCCCAAATTCATGGAATGAAGACATGGATGCTTCCATCTGTGGAAACACCAATTTTTGTTACTTTTTCCTAAAAAATAATAAAGTCCAAGAAAGTCCAGGATTATATGAGAGGTAAATACCATTTGTGTGCTATTGTGGTGCTATTTTTCAAGTGGCTAAAATAATAATATTTTACCTCAGAATTGGACACACTTGCGGAGGTCACTTCCTTTGTTTTATATACTTGCTGAACAAGGAGGTCACAGTAGAGTCTTAGTTCCGACATTTTGGTTTTCAAGTTTTCAGTATTTTCAGCAAACTCTAAATAACAAAATGATAATAATCAAGTTTCTTAAATGAATAAATCATGTGCTAGTCAGTCTTTGCTAGCCACCAAAGCATAAGTCAGCTCCAAAGTTGGTTATTTATAGTACAGGCTGTAGACATGATGCTGGTAAAGATACAGATTCAAGAAAACACAATTTTACACGGCACTGAAACAGACAAGGGAGAGAACTGTACAAAAAGAACAAGTGATTAGGTATTACTGGCATGACAAGCGTCCAGAATAAGAGCTGCATAGTATAGTGGACTAGGGTGGGAGACTGTATAACATTGAAAGAATTTTCTTTTCCCCCAAAGAGAAAAGTAAACGGCGGGAGGAGAAGAGGGGAGGAAAATATTCAACAATGAATGAATGGAAATCCAGGTTCTCTATAAACTTTCATTAAAATCTCAATTAAAAAAAAAATTCCAGTCTTCAGAAGTAATATGCATTATTTCTTGAAACAATACACAGAATCAACACCAATACAAGGAGACAATAAACCATCTGACCATAAAGGAGACATAGAACTTGAAGCAACGCCAACGGTTCAGAGTTTTGATCTTGGTCCTACCTAGTCTTTCCAATCTGTAAAATGTCATGATAGCTACTTATCTGCTAATATAGTGCTCTGCTCACAACTCAGTAACATCAGCAGTAACGTCCAAACGCACACTCACTACTTTGGTTGAGGACTAGGTGCAGCATGCTGTTTGTTAAAGTGAATCCACGTGCTGCTCCCTCATTAGCAAAGCATTCCAGCCACTCTGGTACTGAGATCTCATTAAAAATTGTCACCATCCTTTCTTCCTTCTCTATGAAAAAGGTATACATTACCACCTACTGAATGGAGTCTAGAATCTGCTCCCGATTTAAACACAAGCATGGAGAAGGCCATTTTACTTTGTCTACTTGGAGAGTCAGGACATTTGATACTTGTCATGCTTTTCCCAGAGCTCCTGCGCCACTGTAGTAACTTTAGGTGCACACATGAAGGTAGGAGGCTGACCGAGACCCAGGCAGTAGGCAGTGGCATCCTTGCCTCAATCCAAGCAGAAAGTGGTGTCAGTTTAATAATGATGCTTTCCTAAGGGGCATTAAGCAGCAGCAATCTGATAATTAAGTATCCATCCCTCCCCAGGGAAGGGGAATGGCAGGCAGGGTGTTGTGGCTGGAAACACCCCTCTCCAAGGCTTATCTGGTAAAGCTGCTCTTCAGGGAAGGTTATCTTGGTGCCAGACAGGGTGATACACAGATATCACAGCAATCCTCATGGCAATCCTTCTACACAGGTAATGTTGCTGTTGTGTATGTACCCTGGAGTCAGATCTGACTCACACCTAACCCTCCAGTGGGTTTTCAGAGGCAGTAAATCATGTGGGAGGAAACTGTCCCCTAGGCCACCAGAGCTCCCTTATACAGGTAATATAAACTTTTTTTTTTAAAGAGAAAAATGAAGCTCATGGAATTTTTCTATGCCAAAGTCAATTAAAAAAAAATCCAAACTCACAACCATTGAAAGATTCTGATTCATAGTGACCCTCAGGTTACCAAAATTATCAGTCTATGGAAGTAGACTGCTCATCTTTCTCCCACAAAGTACTTGGTGGGTGCAAACCAGCAGCCTCATGGTTAGCAACCTGACACATTATATACAACATCAGGCCTTCTTCTGTCACACAGCCACCATAATTTGAACTCAGTCGTCTGTTCCCAAAGCTTGTGCTCTTTCCAGCAGAATGTGAAGGGAAAAAATGAGAAATATTTCCTGCTTAAACCACGTGTGACCCACGGGCCATGTGTTGCCCAACATCATCTTCAGCATCTCAGGTTTCCTGAGACATTACTATCTCAATTGCAGTATGTTTTACCATCTGGCAAAAAACTGAAATGAAGAAATGGACCTCAATTGTATCAAGAGTCATATTACCTCAAATTTTTCCCTCTTGATTTCAGCATGCATTTAATTATGGAAAACACATGGGACCAACAAAAAATTAAAAGCAGAAAAGAAATTGGTTCTTACAGGGTTAAGGTCCCGCTGAGGTTCTAACACAAATGAGCAAAAAGGTCTGCTAGCTTATCAGAGTTAAGCAAGTAGGAGAAATCAGAAATGCCAGTGGGTGGTTCTCAAGGTTTCCAGAACGGAGGGCAGTCAATACTCACCTTTCTCCTTTTGGGTCCTACTGTCCGTCAAGCAGGCCTTGGCTGACCCCAGGGCCACCAACCAGCGCTGTCTCTCGGCCACACTTCTGGCTTTCAAGTAGAAATACTGCTCACCAGGGATTATCAAGTCCATGCGAGTGTTATCTACAGAGTGAACTGGGAGAAGGCAGAGGAGGTAAAATGCCATAAAAATCTTGAGTAGCCCTCCACCAGTCCAATTTCATGAACTCAAATGATACCAGTTACTGAAGGGGTCTTTTAAGAGGAAAAAAATAGATGCTAAATAAATAGATTAAAAAAGAAAGAAAAGAAGAGGGAAGCGGATAATGCTGGCCCTCATAACTGCTCCTGATTGTACTAAGATATTTTTATTTTTTTAAATATCCTGGGTCTCTCCTGTGATCTAGAGGAAAATATCTGTTTGGTTCCAAAGCATCATTACAATGCTGGCTTAAAAATGAGTCATTCAATTTCCCTTATGATTCTTTATAAATAATGGAGAAGGAATCTCTTGTCTGGTATGTATATAAAGCATGTCAGAGGCCAAAAAGGTTTATATGCCAATAAGGTGCTATTATCTAGTCCTTAAGGTTAATCTAGACGGAAATATTTACTTTTTTTTCTACTTCCATGACAAAGCAACCGAAAGTGTGAGAATCCTTCAGGGTCCTTGAGAAGAAAAAAAAACCCACTCTTCCTCCACCCCCCTCCACAGCTATATCTCAGAAGGTCTCAAGATCCTCACGCCAAGCAGTGAAGGTTATTTCAATGTTTATTAGGTTTATGCTTATTCTGAGTTTCTGATGGTGGTGATGCTGTGGAATGTTTCATTAAACGTAGAGGTTTAATTACTGTAGGAAAAAGACTTAATGTTTCAGAAGTAACACTCTGGCCACAGGTGAGCCGGTGACTAAAGAATGACACTAGGTGAGCAGAGAGCACAACTGTACTCTACTTCTTAACCAACTTCCTTGAAAAACCTGATTGCACATTTAGGATTGATTTGAAGGCTCTCTTCTGAAACTGTTTTCTGATCTGTACTACTGGAACAGAGGAGAAAGGTGTGTAGAGACCGGTGGAGGTTTTCAGTTTGTTGGGGAGACAGAAAGAAAATGAAAACCGGCAATTCTCATAGTTCCTCACCTTGAATTTCACAGACTGCCATCTGGATGCTCCCTTTACAGCCCTTCCAAGCATCTTCAGGAGAATCATAATAGGACAATATGCCTCCACAGAGAAGGAACCAGCGAGGCTGCCAACCTGAAAGGAGAAGCAAGGTCACCACCTAAGCTACAGTATGAAGGTTAGGTGTCTCCCAAGACATGGTAATAGGACCAAACAGACTTCGGAGTTCCAACTCCTAAGGAGATTTATTGAAGAGGAAACTCTACGAGTCAGAAGCAGGTTATAAAAGACTTATATGTTTAATTTTTAAAAAATTAAACACACACTTTTTGGTTATACAACACATAGAAGGAAGGTGACATGTTTTTCACTTCTACAATGAGAATCATGTCTAGCAGGATTAGCAACAAACACAGCGATAATCCTCTATGTGGTGGAATCCTACTGCATGTGGTTGATTAACTCTTACTCATGGATTTCTTAAGCATGAAAGAATGGAACAAAGGTGGTTTTCATTGTTTCTTTAATATGTTGTTTTGTTGTTAGGTGCCATGGAGTCAACTGTGACTCACAGCAGACTTAAGGGCAACAGGTCTGAACTTTGCCCTCTCCTGAGCCAGTCTCCTCATCCCTGATATGGTCCAGCCCACTGTTACCATGTGTCAGCCTAACTTGTTAAGGGTCTTCTCTTCCTGAGTTCCTCCGTTTTCCACAGCATGATATACTGGTCCAGGGACTAGTCCTCTGCACAACACGCCCAAATCATGTGAGAAAAAGTGTCATCATCCTTTCCTCTGAGAGCATCCTGGTTGCATTTCTTCCAAGGCAAACCTGTTTGTTCTTTTGGCAGTCTATGGGATATTCAGTACTCTTGTCCAACACCACAATTCAAAAGCATCAGTTCTTCTGTCACCCTTATTCACTGTTCAACTACATATGCATAGCAGGGAACGAAACAATTTAATCAATTATATCTTAGCCTTTAAATTTGCATAATTGCTCATTAGCACTTTGGAGTGGTGCTTAACAGCACATTTCCCCCAATGGAACTTGTCTTTTGATTTCTTGTCTGCTGTGATCCTGAGTGTTGATTGTGGAACCATGTAAAATGGAATCCTTAACAACTTCAATCTTTCCCCCATTTATCACGATGTTACCTAATGGTTTAGTGATGAAGATGTTTTTTGATGTTGAGATGTAATCCATATTGTAGGCTGTAATCACTTTTTTTTAAAAAAGGCTATAGTCTTGATCTTCTACAGCAAGTGCTTCAAACACTCTTCCAGCAAGCAAGGTCAGATTACAAAATTTTTCCACAATTTAATTATGCCTTTTTCCAAAAGACTGTTTCATATCCTCTATCACAAAGAAAACAAGTCCATGAACTTAGCTGTTTCAGTGATCAAAGTAAAATTCTGTTGAGATTCCATGAAAACTTCACTTTTGTCAATATTGCTTTAAATGGTTCCTACTTCAGTATATGTGCTATAGTTATAAATGAACAAGTTAAAAGATGTCACAAAATGAAACGTAATGATAAGACACATAACAAATTAATGTATTTTCTTTTTAGATCTTTCACCCCTAAAATGTTTTAATTAATCTTTCTTAGTGCAACAATGATTGAATGGAAACCCAAAATCTCTGTAAATGTTTATGAACATTAATAAAATATAATTATAGAAAAAAATTAATATCTTTCTGTATTTTGCTCTTACAATTGGTTTAATCCCATTTAAGCTGCCAAATAATGTCTAATCCCATATATAATAATGTATGCTCAGAATTTTTTAGCCTCTAGGGATGAAAATCAGTATTTGAATGGGTAATCTGGCCATTTAATGCATACAGCAATATCAACAGTGGGAAATAGGCACTGTAGTTTATTTTCTATTAAAGAATCCTACATCCCTACATAACATTTATCTTCCCTGAAATCTATAAACTTAGTTCTCATGTGAGAATAAAATTACCATACTTCGGTAAGTCTTTGTTTTTAAATCGAGATAGGCCAACATTATTATTTTTTTTTATGTTTTAAAGCATTCTTCATCAGATAAAAAAAAAACCTACCTGAAAGAAATTAACACATTTCATCGCTATTTTTCTGTAAGATTTAAGTGTGTTGATGATGTAGTAAAGTCATTAAGCAAAAATTATATCAGGTACTCAGTATGTGAATACTGTCATTCACTTATTTCTTTCTAGTGCTTCTGTGAATGGGGAACTGCCTGCTGTGAATGGGGAACAACTGGTCTGTTGTGTTTTCAAAATTTCTGAAATATTTTCTTAAATTATGTAAATGTCCTCTTTATAACTAGTAGATCTGTACATGTCTTTAAATCTACTTCTACACATTAAAGACCTTGACTTTTTTGCATCTTCTTTTCATGCCTGATCTTCGGCAATAGTTTCTAAAGCATCGAGAATACAAATGATAGATTCTAGTACTGTACTCAGTGCTAAAGTATGTACTTTCCATATATGAGAAAGCCATGCCAATACTTGATCATTGTCTAAATAGGGCTTAAGAACTGTCCATCATTGAGTGAAAGGGGCAAAAAATGGACAGAGTAACTAAATGGGGAAAAAAGATATTTTACTGCCTGGCTCTTGCTCGCGATAGGGTGTGAGCTGATCGGATTTGGCCTCATCTTTAGGAAAGCTTTTGGCTGCCAGTCTGGGGCTATTTCCAGGATGGGAAGATGAGTAGAATAGCCAGATTGTGCAAAGCTGTGTTTTTCTGGTTTGAATTTGAGACTAGGGTGTGGCTCTTGCTTGCAATAGGGTGTGAGCTGATCCAATTTGGCCTCTTCTTTAAAAAGGCTTTTGGGCAACAACTATCAGATATCATCTCACCCCAATAAGAATAAGCAAAATTTAACAGAACAGCAGTCAACAAATCCTGGCGAGGTTGTGGAGACTAGAACCCTTATTCATTGTCGGTGGGAGTGTAAAATGGTGCAACCACTGTGGAAGGTGGTGTGGCACGTTCTCAAAAAGTTGCAAATAGAGATACCATTTGACCCAGCAATTCCACTACTGGGAATACACCCCAAAGAGACCATAACTGACATCCAAGCAGATATATGCACACCCATGTTTATCACAGCTTTGTTCACAATAGCAAGGAGTTGGAAACAACCTA